TATTATTTTCAATATAAACAATTATAAACCTACTTTTTTGTCCTACCCTGTATATTCTCAGAGGAAGAAGAATTGGCAATGATGTTTAAGGATTGATTAGGTCTGTTTAAGTTTGTTATAAGTGTTGGTAGATGGAGGGGTTACTGTATACCTCAAGCATAATTATTTCTGCAAGATATTTGAAAAATTCTCATAAATATCATTGTAGAGTGTATGAGATCTGTAATTAGTTGAATAACCATGTAGAAGTGAGGCAAGTTCTTTTTTTTTATGGGAGTGCTATATTCTTGGACTTGTCGTAGACAAGTCCAAGAATATAGCTGTATAAAAATATAGTTATTAGGTGAGCTACAACCTTCAATAAATTTAAGTAGTACATTTATTGAACCTCTACTATGTCCCATGGGATATGTGAACAAATTAAGAAGAAATTATCAATATAATTGAATTATGATCCAAATTATATTGTCACATTGTAACTCTGAATCAAGACTAGGAAAAATGCTATTTTTAGCTTAAGATACCAGATTTTTGAAGATAGGATGGAAGACATCTCATCTGATTATTTGTTCATCATAATAAAATCTAGCATTTTACTTGATTAGGATCTCAAGGTAAGTGAAATACATGATGGAGTAATTTAATCAGCTAATGAAAAAAATAGGCTGCTTTAGAGAAGTCATAGTAACTGTAAGGGTGGTGAGAGCCGCCTGCAATATTAACTCAATTCTGAGCACATTGCTTAAAACAAATTCTTGAGGATCCTAAGGTGTTCATATTATGTATCTGTGAGTCAACAGGTAGTTTTAAATCTATAGTGCATTAATTAATGTCTAAGTACATTTTTTAAATTATGATAACCAATAGGACTGAAGAATAAAATGTTTAGATTGATAGAAATGGGAAGAGAAAGAGAGAAAAGGAATGTTAATAACGCCTCTTTTTTCAGAGGAGAGAGTCATTAGATATGTGAGTGATGCGAATATGCTACCTATACACGCACACACATACACATACTGTCATTATTTGGTGTCATGGAGAAAACCAGACCCCCAAAAAGACAAAGAAAGCTGTCTCAGAGGAGTGTTACTTGAGGTTGAGAGGCCGGGGCTGGGAAAAAAAAAGTCTGTCAGTGCCATTGGATTTTATACCATGGCCATATCCTACTTTGGTTTTTAAAAGTAAAGAGCGTCTGGATGAGCATCCTCCCCTGGAGAGAAAGTGGAACAAAGACAAAGTGAGAGAATAGAGAGGCTGCCAGGGTGGAGTGGGATCTGAACACTGATAACGTGGTGGTTGAAGGAACTGGGATCATTTAACCCAGATAAGAGGCAGAAGGAGAGGTGTATGCAGATGGGAGAAAAGAGGGCAGGCTGGAATCAGGAGCTAGAGGAGGACGTCTTTGGTGGACATATTTAATTACTGCAGAAATTCCTGTCCTGTGATTCCTGGGATCTGTATGGGAGGTGTGTGTATCCATGTACTCCCAAAGTGACATGGAAAGTTGTGTCCTTTTATGGGTATATGCATTTAGGGGGAGGGGTCCAACTGTTATTTTCAACAGATTTTTTTAAAGGAGTTTACAATTTAAAATAGGTTAAGAACTACAAGACTTCCTTCTTTATGGAATAATAAACACTTATTTAAACAGAGACCATTTTATTTATTTATTTAAAAATATTTTTATTGATTTCAGAGAAGGAGTGGGAGATAACGACATCAATGATGATAATCATTGATTGGCTGCCTCCTGCACGCCCCACACTGGGGATCAAGCCCACAACCTGGGCATGTGCCCTGACCTGGAATTGAACTGTGACCTCCTGGTTCATAGGTCGATGCTCAACCATAGCCATGCCAGTCAGACCAGAGACCATTTTTAATAGATGGTAATCTTCCCATTGGATAAAAGTGTTATTTGGAAGAACCTTTTTCATTCTCAGGTTCTAATATTTACACAATGAAAAATGATCAAATAAATCTATAATCATAAAAGCATAATATGCAAATTGATCAAATGACCGAACAGCAGAATGACTGTCCGGATGACCTTCCGGATAACCATGCTATGACATGCACTAGCGCCAGACCAGCCAAGGTGGGTGTAATGCGATTGGTCAGGGGGCCCTGCCATTGCCCCATGATCGCCCCGCAGAGGGAGGCCCAGGTCACCCTCTACACAGCGATTGCCTTGATGAGAGAGGCCCAGGCCAGCCAAGTGATCACACCCCATGCCTGTCGCCTGTAGAGGGAGGCGACTCGGGGCAAGGGAGGGGCGGCAGCGCCACACAGATGGCAAGCAGTGGCAGCAGCGGGGGCGGGGCCAGCTGCCAACAGCCGGAGGAAGAAAAACCCCAATAGGCCCTGATTGCTGGCCAGGCCTAGGGACCCTACCTGAGGGGTCCCGGATTGGGAGAGGGCGCAGGCTGGGCTGAGGGACCCCTCCCATGCACAAAATTCATGCACCAGGCCTCTAGTGTAATAATAAAAGAACAATTACTGAACACATTCCATGCTGGTTGTGATGCTAAATGCTTGACATGGGCTCTCATTTATCCTCACAGCCTCAGATGAGGGAGGCCCATCAAAAACTCAGAGACAAAGACACTTGCTGGAGGTCACCCTATGTAAGGGACAGAGCCAAGGTTAGAAACCAAGAGGTCTGGCCCTAGAGCTGGTCTGCTAGTCCCCTTTGGATGGGTTTTTCTTTGTCTTCATTCGGACTCAGTTTATGTCACTTGCCTGTATTAGTTCTCACCACAACTCATAGTGGCAACACTTGTACCTGCAAAGCTACTCTTTCTGTTTTTTTATTTTTTCCTGTGTTAGTCTTGTTCTACCTGCACATTATCTTTGTGTTATGACTGTGCGTGAGTAAGAGTCTAATATTTATAGATTATTTGAACTTGATATTGAAAGGACCTGAAAGGAATTTTAGAGACAGGACAGGGAGTTTTAAGAATAAAAAAGGGTCCATGGAAAAGGAATGCATATATGAGGGCATTTTTGGGGGGAGACACAAAAATGCTTATCTTACTTGTAGAGAGGATAGAGAAATGCCACAGGATAAGAGGGGAGGAAGACATACATTCACAGAGGATAAAGAAAAGCCACAAGAAGAGGGAAACATTTTCATACGCAGTGGTTCTCAACCTTCCTAATGCCGCAACCCTTTAATACAGTTCCTCATGTTGTGGTGACCCCCAATTTCATTGTTACAAATTGAACATAATTAAAGCATGGTGATTAATCACAAAAACAATATGTAATTATATGTGTGTTTTCCGATGGTCTTAGGCGACCCCTGTGAAAGGGTCATTCGACTCCCAAAGGGGTCGCGACCCACAGGTTGAGAACCGCTGGTAGAGGAATGTTGCAAGATAAGGGGAGAGGGTGGGGGCACCATGTGGGCTTTGAGCTTTGAAACTGATACTATGTAGCAGAGTGACCAATGAGGGGTCCTAAATTGAGGAAGGGTCCAATTAGAAAGGGTCAGAGTCAGACAAAAAACTACAGCATATATAAATCAGAGACAAAGAGACACGAGACAGATTTTAGATTTTTGGATTTAGATTTTTTTTCCATTAGAGAGAGAGCAGACTTTTCCTTTTGGGTGCCCCTTCCCAGGGGTCCCTTTTGGGGCACCCCTGCCCAGATGGAGTTTGTATATGCTTCCAATAAACTTCCACGTTTTTTATTAAAGAAAGCTGTTAGTCCATGAATTTATCCTTCATCTTTTGTCAGACAAGGACACATTAGAAGAAGTCTACCCCTGTGACACACCTCCTGACCCACAGGTTGAGAACCGCTGGTAGAGGAATGTTGCAAGATAAGGGGAGAGGGTGGGGGCACCATGTGGGCTTTGAGCTTTGAAACTGATACTATGTAGCAGAGTGACCAATGAGGGGTCCTAAATTGAGGAAGGGTCCAATTAGAACAGGTCAGATTCAGACAAAAATCTACAGCATGTATAAACCAGAGACAAAGAGACACGAGACAGATTTTAGATTTTTGGATTTAGTTTTTTTTCCATTAGAGAGAGAGCAGACTTTTTCCTTTTGGGTGCCCCTTCCCAGGAGTCCCTTTTGGGGACACCCCTGCCCAGATGGAGTTTGTATATGCTTCCAATAAACTTCCACGTTTTTTATTAAAGAAAGCTGTTAGTCCACGAATTTATCCTTCATCTTTTGTCAGACAAGGACCCATTAGAAGAAGTCTGCACCATGAAACCCACGTTTCAATGTCATTTAAAAGAGAGAGAGAGAGAGAGAGAGAGAGAGAGAGAGAGAGAGAGAGAGATTATTAATTTTCTATTGCTACTGTGACAAATCACCTCAAACTTGGCTTGAAACAATACAAAATTATTTTCTGTTCTGTAAGTTAGAATTCCAGCATGGGTCTCACGGGGCTAAAATCAAGATGTTAGCACAGGGTAAGATGGAGGGCGTAGTCCTTGCCCTTTCACTTCATTGCCATTTCCAGCTTCCTTGGCTGGGGGCTCCCTCCTGCACCTTCAAAGCCAGCAGCAGTAGGTTGAGTCCTTATTACATTCCATCACTGGGATCTCCCTGTGATTATATTGGACTCACCCAAGTCATCGAGGATAAGCTTTCCATCTCAACGTCCTTGATTTATCACATCTGCGAAATCCCCTTCCCTGTGTTAGATAGCATCGTCACACCTTCCAGGGATAAGATAGGGACATCCCTGAGGATCATTCTGAGGGACATCTCTGCCTACCACAGTCACCTGCTAAATACCAGGCACTGTTCCAGGGACCAGGACAAAACACAACCCCTTCCCTAGAGGAGATGATTGCAGCTGATGGAGTATTTAGATGGATGAGGGAAGAACAACATGTGCTATGACAGAAGTGTGATCAACTATAACACTCTGGAGAGAACAACCACCTGAGGTCGAGGATGAAGCAGAAAAAAATGTGGCTCAAGAATTAGAATTGTTCTTGACTTTTCCCTGTGACTTTATCACCTTCCATCCAGGTTTTGAGACTCTGGGATATTCAGCACCAGCTGTCCATCCAGAGGATAGCGTGTTCTTTCCCCCAAAGCCAGGACTTCAGATGCCTCTTCCACTTTGATGAAGCCCACGGTCGACTTTTCATCTCATGTAATCACCAGCTGGCACTGTTGGCCATGGAGCGGGAAGCCAGCACGAGGGTGAAAAGCCACAAGAGCGCCGTCACTTGTGTTCTTTACCATTCGGTCTTGAGGCAGGTAAGGATGCTGTTCTTTCACCCTCCCAACTAGCTCCATATCCAGAGGCTATTTCCTTAATTCCATCTAAGGTCACTGAGGACGAATATAGAAAAAACAAAAAACGTGGCAAGGAATTTAATAGGCATGTGCTTTCTGCAATACTGTGTGTTCAGGTGGGTTTGAAGATGGTTTCATTTTCAGCCAGTGACCACAGCAGCACTGACAGAATTATAAGGAGTGACAATATTCCAGCTCACACAAACACAACATTACAGGATCGAACTCACCTTTGTTACCTGCTGGCTTGAGCCCCGATGGCAAACGCAGGTAAACCTGGCTGGAGCATTTTCCTTTACAAACACCATCTTCCTGTATCCCCATGGAAAGCTCTGAAATATGCATGCAATGTAATTAGCAGGGAACCATTTTGCCGGCATATTTTACACCAGTGGCTCGCAGTGGCAGCCCGGAATGTATTCATAATAAAATGATTCAGTTAAATGCGGTGCCACTTGCTATGCAGCTTGAGTGTTGTTTGTCTCCCCACCACTTTAATGACGCTCTGCAGCCTTTGCTCATGGGAGTGCTACCTGCATGTCAATGACCAAGCCGGCTCCCCTGGGCAGAGCCTTCTCAGTGAGCAGGAGGGGCAGGCCTGGGGGTATTGGGGAGGGAGCGGGCACCCATCTCCTGCCAGGATCACTGCAGGCCCTATTGTAACAGCACAGCAGGAGCCCCGTATCCAGCTTTGGGCCAATTAAACAAGAACTCCAGCTCATTCTTTCCTTCCCTCCGCAGAAGCCTCTGCAGTCAGGCAGACAGGAGTAGTTCAGATCTTGTGCAGGGGGCGGAAAGCTCTTTGTTAGTAATGAGCAGTGTGTCATGTCACTACTTCAAACATTCTGTTTCCTGGTTATTCTAGGAGATAAAAATCCCTTACGCGACAATCCATTTTGAATTCCATCTGGGGGAAATGTTCCCCCGTAAATGTTTTACTGAACTTTATGAAGGCAACCGGTTAATTCGGCTCCCCGGTGGCCGCTGAGCGATGTGTTTGTTTCCAGGAGAACATTATGCTAATTGAGATCTGCAAAGTTAAACCGCGAGGCTTGTGCTTAGATGCTAAGATCCTGCATTGCCTGGCCATAAGATGAGCCGTATTCCCTGAGGAATTCAGGAAATAGGACCCAAAGGAGTTCTGGAATTTTCTACTTGGGACAGGAGATAAAGCCAAGATAACAAATATATGCGAGTTTTAGGCAAGGATAGAATATGCGCATGTGGTATATGATGTAGGGAGAATCACTGTACAATTCCGTGTGCACACCTCTTTATTTTCACTGTTAATCGCATAAATAATTAAAAGCATTGATACACATATAAAGCACATGAGCTGTGTACCACATATATAAGTGCTTCCTATTAGCTGCTAAGCTTTAAAGAAACACTTTTTTGCTGTATTCCATTTTTTAATTATGAAAATGTATTGGCAGTCAAGAAAAAGAAAACAATATCACCCACAGTCCCATAAACCAGTGATATTTGTCACTTCAGAGTAATTAGACAAAGCAAATAAAACAGTTTTGAAGAAATACCAGGAGCCAGGACTGAAGGAGACTCTATTTATTTCAGAGAGGAAGGGAGAGAGAGAGAGAGATAGAAACATCAATGATGAGATAGAATCATTGATTGGCTGCCTCCTGCATGCCCTCTACTGGGGATTGAGTCCCCAACCCAGGCATGTGCCCTTGACTGGAATGAACTCAGGACCCTTCAGTCCACAGGCGGAGGCTCTATCCACTGAGCCAAACCAGCTAGGGCAAGACTCAATCTTTAAGGGCAGGTCCAGGGTGTCTTCCTGGTGCTCATTGCTCGGTAGGTCCTCACGCAGGACTGTGGAATAAAAACGGGGAAGCAGCCAGGTGACCAACTCACAAGGCAACAGTGGAGCTGAGGGTAATGAAATAGAGGTAAGAGCTACCCATGGAAAGTGATCAGTTCCGCCCGGGGCTGGGGAGGGTGGCATTTCAGCAGAGCCCTGAAGCCAGAGTGGAATCTTTAAGCGGAGAAGGAAGTAGTTCCAGACAGAAACACAACGCGAGCACCTGCCAAGCGGCTTGAGCACTGAGTGCATTTACAGGAGGGGTTCACGCTGGCGTGGCCGGTCCAGGAGCACTTGGCAGATGTTGGCCTTGACACAGTAAAGGGAGCTTAGAGGCAGATGGTGAAGGTCATTCACCGGCCATACCACAGTCTGGTTTTGGAGAAAATTATTGCTTAAACCTGGGGTTAAAACACTAATTCTCAGCGTGATCTCGGACCCCAGGGGACTCAGATCCTTTCAGGGAATCAGGGAGATCAAACCTATTTTAATCATAATTTTAACTTGTTTTTTGTTTTTTACTCTCATTGTGTCATTAGTGTATAGAGGAGTTTTCTAGAAGCTACGTGATGAGCGATGATATCATTGCTCTGAGTCCAAAGGAATGTGTACTTCTTATTATTGTGTTTTAATAAATTCTTAGTGTAAATTTCTAATGTAAATTATCTATCTATCATCATCTATCTATTTCTTCCATATAAATAAAAGTTATTTGAATTCTTCAATAATTTTAAGAGTATAAAGGGACCTCAAGACCACAAGTTTTGAGACACTTTGGGTTAGAGAAATCAGAGTTGAAATGTTGGGCAGATTACTTACCATGTCTAAGCTTCAGTTTGTTCACTTTTGAAAATGTGTGTGTGTGTGTGTGTGTGTGTGCACATGCTTGTGGGCCACAGACATAACAGTAGCAGCACCTATCTCTCCTGCATTCCTGTTTATGGCCTCCTTTCGGAAGCAGTTCCTTCCTCCCGGCAGCCAGCCCTACAAGCTCCCCCATACCTCTCAGGTGGAGCATTCAAGCTTTATCACACCTCTTTTGTTTGTTAATGTCTCCGTATTAGTTCATCTTTATTTAACCAGGCATCATGTGAAAGCAGATGTTGGGAAGAGTTAGAAGATGGATTGAGCTTTGTCCCTACCCTGCTTATCTTCAGGAACATCCCTTGAGGGGAGGAAGTTGTCCTATCCATTCTCAGCCATTGCCATTCCCGCTCATAAACATTCATTTATAGGGGTCCTCTCAGCTCCCTGAGTCTCCAGGGACAGCCCTGGCCACGCCTATCTCGCCCCTCTCAGAGCACTGGTCACATCTGGAGTTGTTTTCTAGTTAAATACTTAGCTCAACTCTCATTATTCTCTTCTCCTATGTTTTTGGAATAAGGAAAAGATCCTTGTCTCCCACTTCTGTATTTTCCAACAACGCCAAACATTCTTCTGAGCACTGAATGGATGCTCAGTTGCTAAATTATTGCCATTTCTCATCCCAAGTTCAAAAGGAACCCATGCTTTTTCAGTCCACTGACCCTTGATCTTTGGTTTTCTGGGTTTAAGCCTCTGTTGAGGACTTTCTGTTTGTCTGAAATTAATGGCAAACCTTTCTTCTGTTGTCATTTCAGCATAGAGCTGACATGTTAGTGTGACTTAATTCTATTTGACTCCGGTGGAGACTTAACATAATCCCTCTATAAAAGCAACTTGGCACATTTCTGTGACTTTTCTTTATCTTCCTGACTTTTGGCACCCTGGCATCCCCAATCTAAGGAAGGGATGGGGAGCCGTGCAAAGCCTCTTACAGAGAGCCGCGTGCTTTGTCACACCCTGCGAAGATTGCCCTCACAGCTGGCGGCAGAACAAGTTGGGACAGCGTGAGGGAGTCCGTGGAATGTGCAATTTTAAAAGCATCAAAGTCACTCAGTATCCTGGAGGTAGTTCTAATACACTGTCTTTGCAGTGAGCTCTTAAATGAAGCTTTAAGAAAAACACCCAAGGATTTTAAGAACCTTTAAAAATGTATTTGTAGCTATAAACAGGAATAGATAAAGTTTCAGAGTTATCACTGTGGCTCCCATCCTAATGATGTGGGCTAATGTGTTTCTGTAAAATAGGTAATGTTTCCGTTGGTTTTGCATCTAGGACACACTTAGGGTCAGGCTAGACATTCAGGTGTCATCAAATCTTAACAGACAATACATTACATAGTTTCGTTTTTGAAAAACATTCCATGCTTATTATAAGATGTTGAAACAATGCAACAAAGCTCAAATAAGGAGCTAAATATCATCAGGTTCTAAATATCTCTCTGTGCATAGACTATTTTGCATAAATATTCTGTAACCTACTTTTTTATTTTATAATAGGTTGAAATGTATTTCCCTGTTCCCAAATGTAGATCTAGTTCATCATTTTTAAAAGGCAGTACATATCCCACTGTAGGTATGTATCATCATTTACTGATCCATTTGCCTTGATGAGAATTTCGCTATTACGATTTTTTTTGTACACAACTATATTCACACTCAGGACTTGATCTCTCTCGGGTAAAATCTTAGGAATGACTTTCTAGCTTAAAAGATATGCATAGTATATAATTTGGTATACAAATTGCCTCCCTTAATTTTACCATTTTATCCAGTCTCCAAGAGTAAACATATTAATCACATCCATGGTTACATAAAGAAACTTGTCAGACAATGCTGCTGGCTGCGTCCAGCAGGCCTCCTGAGACCCTGGGTGGGTTTCATAATCCAACACGGGAGGTTGGTTACCTCATCAAGAGTGGTACTGTTTCTTGAAGACAACTCTCACGCTATCACAAGAAACATCATTCCTGAAAATGACCCTTGGGTGTTATTTTTTGGTACCAGTGCCTCTCCTGTCCTCTTTTCTACGCACCATTATTTGGGGGAATTGAGATTTTTGAGAATCTAAACAATTCAATTTGTAGTTCCCTTGGTAATTATAAAATGTGAGAAAAGGGAGGCTGACAAATGTAAGGGAAATTTATCTCCATCTTACAAGACATTAGACCTCTGTGGTGCTTGTATTTAGGGCAAGATCAATGCGTTTCTCTTTTGAACAGAACTGGATGAACACTAATGGAAACTTTCTCTCTGCCTGCCTTCTAGCTGGGCTC